AATGTTAGTATTGGGCAAACTTGTCAGACGTGAGGCAGAGCAGTAGTGCGACTTTAAGAAACATACTCACTCTGTGATCATTGGTATTAAAACCATCTGATAGTCCAATAGCGAACGCTGATCGCATTCACTACTGGGCACCCGAGGGTTCGCACTCCTCAAACGTTGATGCTAGCTCGGCGCCAAAATCTTTATGTCTCTGCGCACCCCAGGATCCTGGATCTTCTCCTTGGCAACCTCACTGCGTACAAGAAGTCACGTAACTATGGTTAGAATCAAACTATATACGCCTTCGATATGTTTGCAGCTTCGTAATAAATCGTCGTCCAGGGCATACTATAGTCTACTCACACAAGGCAAAACAGTAACAGCGACTCGTTCCACTCCTCTCTCCCCGCGCATAACGTCTTGAAAGACTGCCTTCCTAGTCCTACGCTCAAGCCGAAGCCATCCGTGAATAAGTGGGAGGTAATCACGTTACTATCGCGAAGTTGTGAAATGTCTCTACGGGTATTACTCTAGAGAGCCTAGCAGTGGGCTCTGCGTTGGGCGTAGAAGGAGATAGACGCTCTAGCAGGGGAGATAAGGGAATTGAAAGAACAGATGGGAATGGCAAGAGTGACGTTCAGCGAACCTCAACCCACTGTGCTACCAACCCTGGACTACCAGATGGAACGGGTATTTTCTCATCCAGAAAGAAGACGGGTAGGGTTTGGTCATAGCACCCGGCGTGGAACAACTGTCCTGCCACAAACCCTACACAACACTGCTGACGCGAGATCGTGATGAGCCTATGCTAAACCATTATGGGAATTGTAGACGTAGTCGTTGGCCAACTGGATGCCACGTGGTATTCCAGAATCTTCTACGTCCATTGGTGGTTGGTTCGATGTAAACGTTATATGCATTGCATGCTGAACTCATCATCGGAGAAGCAATGCATGGTCGCACATCTGGCTCGTCCATGTTGGTGGTTGCAGCGCCAGTCATTTTTCGACCCCTACGTCCCTCATATGCGCTGCACTGTTGTTGGTGTTGAATGAACTCTACGAAAATGTCAAGTTTTAAATCATAGTTAACCATCTTATCAGTTGCCAATAACCATGCTATGCATGAGATTCCATCATTGTACCAAATTGGCATTGTGAACAAATGTCGAGGCCATGAATTTGTAGTGCACTAACGTTAAGGTTTGAGAGTCTGGAAATATATCTACTAAACCATAACGACCAAATTTCACAGAACACTCCCAAAACAATACAGTTTCTAAAATAACAAGCCTTACTGAAATGAGCTAAAATTTATAGGGGCATCAGGAATATGTGTGATGAGAGCCTCACATCAAAATCAGCTCATTTGCCCAAGGAGAAGATGGACATTTGAGCATAAACCTGAATCCTGGCAATTCAGCACAGAATTGTGCAATCAGCTGCAGCCCAAAGCATGAAAATCATAGCAAAACTTCATGGGAAAAGCTGAATTTGATAGGGGGATCAGGAATATGTGTGATGAGAGTCCCCTATCAAAATCAGCTCATTTGCCCAAGGAGAAGATGGTCATTTCACCAAAAACCTCATTCCAGTCAATTCTGCTCAGAAATCTGCAGTCTCCTTCAGAACAAAGCATGAAAAGCATAGCAAACCATAGTGAAATGAGCTGAATTTGATAGGGGGCTCATGAATATGTGTGATGAGAGTCCTCTATCAAAATCAGCTCATTTTCCCAAGGAGACGATGGTCATTTAACCAGAAACCTCAATCCAGGCAATTCTGCACATAATTCTGCAAACTCCTGCAGAGCAAAGCATGAAAAGCATAGCAGACCATTATGAAATGATCTGAATTTGATAGGGGGTTCAGGAATATGTGTGATGAGAGTCCCCTATCAAAGTCAGCTCATTAGCCCAAGGAGAAGATGGTCATTTCACCAGAAACCTCATTCCAGTCAATTCTTCTAAGAAATCGGCAGTCTCCTTCAGAACAAAGCATGAAAAGCATAGCAAACCGTTGTCAAATGAGCTGAATTTGATAGGGGGATCCGTAATATGTGTTATGAGAGTCCCGTATCAAAATCAGCTCATTAGCCCAAGGAGAAGATGGTCATTTCACCAGAAACCTCAATCCATGGAATTCTGCACAGAATTCTGCAGTCTCCTGCATAACAATGCATGAAAAGCATAGCAGAAAATTATGAAATGAGCTGAATTTTAAAGGGAGCTCAAGAATATGTGTGATGAGAGTCCACTATCAAAATCAGCTCATTTGCCCAAGAAGAAGATGGTAATTTCACCAAAAACCTCATTCCAGGCATTCTGCACAAAATTCTGCAGTCTTCTGCAAAACAAAGCGTGAAAAGCATAGCAAACCATTATGAAATGAGCTGGATTTGATAGGGAGCACATGATTATGTGTGATGAGAGTCTCCTATCAAAATCAGCTCATTAGCCCAAGGAGAAGATGGTCATTTTACCAGAAACCTCATTCCAGGCAATTCTGCTCAGAAATCTGCAGTCTCCTGCAGGACAAAGCATGAAAAGCATAGCAAACCATAGTGAAATGAGCTGAATTTGATAGGGGGCTCATGAATACGTGTTTTGAGAGTCCTCTATCAAAATCAGCTCATTTTCCCAAGGAGAAGATGGTCATTTCACCAGAAACCTCAATCGAGACAATTCTGCACAGAATTCTGCAGTCTCCTGCAGAGCAAAGCATGAAAAGCATAGCAGACCATTATGAAATGAGCTGCATTTGATAGGGGGCTCAGGAATATGTGTGATGAGAGTCCCATATAAAAATCAGCTCATTAGCCCAAGGAGAAGATGGTCATTTCACCAGAAACCTCATTCCAGTCAATTCTGCTAAGAAATCTGCAGTCTCCTTCAGAACAAAGCATGAAAAGCATAGCAAACCGTTGTGAAATGAGCTGAATTTGATAGAGGGCTCAGGAATATGTGTTACGAGAGTCCTCTATCAAAATCAGCTCATTTGCCAAGGAAAAAATGGTGATTTGAGAAGAAACCTTATTCCAGGCAATTCTGCATAACAACTATTGCAGAAAAAGTCATCCTACCCTGTGTGCAATGAGCTGAAAATGTTTTGGGGGGCTGTAAATAGTGTCATGACACTAACGAAAAAAACCAGGTCACCATAAAACACATGTGTGTGATGGCCATATAATGACATTGCATGTGCTAGGTGTTGAAGCAGCAGCTAGAACGAAGGAGCCATAGCTAGGGTTTAGCTAGCTAGGCAAGAGAGAATAGGCAAAAAAGAGGGCTTTCACTAGCAAACAATGGGATACATATAGCAAACCCTAACAGGGCTGTACTCACTATAGAGTACCCCACTGCAGACTAGAGAAATATAACATTCTGACACTAGGATCAACCTTAATTGAGCCAAAACTGACAAAATAAATGATTTTGGCCAAAAACTACACAACAAGTCCGTTTGTAGAGGACATCATGGAGATGCATAAAATCCAAGTTTCATTCAAAGCGGACCACAAAATTATGAGTTATGAGCCAAACCATAGGCAATTCTGACTTGGCCAATTCTACATTCTGTCTATCTGAATTACAACACTGTGTAAACAGCAAAGGTTATACACTAGTGTAGAACAGTGGTTGCGACCTACGATTCGTCCGACCGTCGAAAGTCGCCCACCGGCAGTGTTACCCCGCTTGCCCCCATTTCGTTGCGCCTTCAGGTGGTTTGGATTTTATAAGGTCCAACCCACCTTTGCGCACGATCCGAGTCAAATCCGTGTCGCACGGGCAGAAGAGTTTTCGCCAACTAAAATTGCCTCTACGATCCGAGTCGAAGCGCAGGATCCGAGTGCTGCTTCCGCCTTTTGCACGCCCTTCCGCCATCAGGTGGTTTGGATTTCTAGGGAATGTCTCAACCAAACGGGGTCCGACGGTGGTCGACGGAGCGTCGACCACCGTCGACCTGACTGCCGGGCAGAAAAAAACTAAAACCCCATCGGATGGCATGCCATCCGAGGGAGGCATCAACCCTAAATCCATGCCTCCCCGCGTTTAGGGTTGATGCCTCCCTGACCGGATGCATGCCCGTCTGGGGTTTATTTTTTTTGCCCGCGGGCAGCGAGCTCCCCCGGGCGGACTCGCTTGTTGGCTGAGCTATACTGGGAGGTATGAGAGGGATTCAATTTGGCGGGATGACAATTTTTTTCCCGCCAGGTCGAATGCTGGAGTTACTCGTTCTCCGCATGTTCCGCAAGTGTACGGCATTTGACGGCAAATTCGATCCCCTGGCCTGCACAAGCGGGGAAATTCGCTTTGCCGAGGCATTTCCAACAACATTTCGCAACATTCGCAGGCTCGAATTCGCGACTGCTGTTACAAACCTAATTCCATACAAAATTGTAGCGAATCTACATTTCATTTCTAGGATTGTGCATCTGTTACGAGTGCAATGGAGTGAGCGAACGAGGATTGCACTATCGAAGCAAGAGTACAATGAGCGAAGGCATGAGCGAAGAATATATAGCGAAACTACAGTGGTAACGGTAATGTGTGGAAATTGGGGTGCGCGACGGGCCTAGCGCCGAGGGTGGGAAATGCCGAGGCGGAGGTCCGGAGCGCGGGTTACCAACCGAGCCGTGAGGTTGGGTCGCGGCGTGAACAGTGGCGGGAACAGTGTCGAGGCGAGTGTCGCGAGTGGTAACGGTGTACTGTTGGATGCTGGTGGCGGGAACAGTGGTGTACGCGCTGAGAAGGGACGCGGAGTAAGGAAAAGGAATTTTCCTTACAGCAGCCATACATAGTTTTGAACCCAAATTTGATCTCCCATGTTTCATCTTGTGACACCAGCATGGTGAGTTGAACCCAAGCATTTGATACAGTAGCTCATCCAGTGTTTCAGGATTACTGCTCACAAAATGCTAGCTCTCATAACCATGACTTCGGCACACAGAACCCTAGTGCATTGATTTGACATACCGGTATCATGTAAACCATGACATTAACGAGTTCAATTCTAAACGCGACTACTCTGTTAGCGTACAATACAGTGCTTGGGATAGAAGTTGGTGTGTTGTGTACAATAGTTAGCGTGAACCACCTATCCAAAGGAGGGCCCATTTGGTCATCCAGTAACCAAAAAATACAAAGACCATCTCCCTCCATCCTTCTCTCCTAGATTTCTCCACCTCCACCCCCCTTTACTTGCTCGCCCCTGTTCACCGTCTACCTCCGCCTCACTCCACTTTGTTTCTCCTTTCACTCTCACCACCAACATTATTCACATCAGCCCTATCATCCTCCTCTTCCCGCGCCCCCCCTACCCGTTTTCGCAAGCCCTCAACCTCTCTCTCCGCCGCCACAACACCCTTTGTTCGTTTGCCGGCCCTCAGTGCTTCCTCCTCCTCTTCCCTGCCTCTCTCCTCCACCTTCCCTTCCTTCCCTTCCCTCTCCTTCCGCCGTTTTGCCTCCAGTGCCACCTTATGCGGTTTCAGGTAGATGCGGTAGAAGGCTGCTGCGAGCACGGCACCAGCGGTGGGGGCAGCCCAGTAGACTATAAAGTGCTGCACCGACATCTCCTGGTCCAATGTGTACACCCACCCAAATGCCTGGAGGAGCAGGGAGACGAGGAATCATGAAACGAGGAAGGAAGGATTGAGATGAAGGTGGGAGCAGTATCCCAGTAGGCTATGAAGTGCTGCACCGACATCTCTTGTTCCAATGTGTACACCCACCCGAACGCCTGGAGGAGGGGAGCGGGGAAGGAGAAACATGTGTGTGAGCAGCATGTCTGGCAGCAAGTGCTGCACCGACATCTCTTGGTCCAATGTGTACACCCACCCGAACGCCTGGCAGAGGGGAAGGCCGCGGCGAGTAGGGAGGCAAGGAGAGACAGAAACCCCAATATGAGGAGGATGGATGAGATGATGATTGTTGGAGCAGCCCAGTAGACTATGTGAAGTGCTGCACCAGCGTGTACTATGTGCACAGTGTTGCGCTGACATGTCTTGGTTGGTCCAGCGTGTGCACCCACCCAAACGCCTGCAGGAGGGGAGTGAGGAGGAGTAGGGAGACGAGCTGCTGGGGAAGAAACATGTGGGACAGAGCAGCCCGGTAGAGAATCAAGTGTTTGGCTGACGTATCCTGATCCAACATTGGCACCCACCCAATCGACGCCAGGAGGGGAGTGAGGAGTAAGAAAGTGGGGAGTGGAAAGGAATAACGAAATGAGGGGGAAGGAAGGATGAGATGAAAGAAGGACATCAGTGAACCAGGAAATGCTGCCCTGGCATTTCTTGACCTAGCTGGTGCATTTCTTGAGTGAGCCAGGAGAGAGTGAGGGAGGTTACAAAGAGGGGGTTCATGGAGGGACCAGACAAGCCCATGCCAGCAGCAATAGCCACTAGTGTGGCGGAGACCATAATGAATGCGTTTGAGAGGTCGCTGCTGGGGCCCAGGAACAGCGTCCACAGCACCACCAGGTTCAGCAGACACACGCGTGAGCGAGTGTGTGAGAGTAAGTGTGCGAGAGTGAGTGTGCAAGAGTGAGTGAGTGAGAATCAGAGTGTAAGACTCAGAGCAAGAGTCAGAGTGTGAGAGCAAGAGGGTAAGAGCGAGAGTGGGAGTGTGAGTGAATCAAGAGAGAGAAAGGGTGCTTACAAAGAGGGGGTTCATGGAAGGACCAGAGAAGCCCATGCCAGCAGCAATAGCCACTAGTGTGGCGGAGACCATAATAAATGCCTTTGAGAGGTCGCTGCTGGGGCCCAGGAACAGCGTCCACAGCACCATCAGGTTCAGCAGAAACGTGAGCGCAAATTCAGCCGTCGCGCCGGCCAATACCGACACGCCAGGTGGCAGCGCGGGCCCGTTGACCGTGTGCTTGAGGGACTCCGGAATGAACTCCCACGTCAGCATGGTTCCTATGACCATGCCACCTGCCTGATGACGTGGATGGGGGAGGGAGGGAGACAGTGGAGAGAAGGGAGGAGGAACGGGGGAGGGGAACAGATAGGAAGGGAGTCAGATTGACATTCTGGAATGAGGTTCGGAAAAAGCTCTCACGTGAGCATGGCGGACTCTTAGGCCCTAAAACCATGTGGAATGTGTAGGAAAGGGATTGTAAATAGGATTGCGTCAAAAAAGGTGCACAAGAACAGCAGGAGAGGGGGAGGAGAGAGGCAGGAAGGGGGCAGGAGAGAGGCAGGAGAGAGGCAGGAGAGTGGGAGGAGAGTGGGAGGAGAGGTGCAGGCGAGGAGCAAGCAAGCGGCGCACCTGAGGGGGGAAGCGTAGCAGCAGCCCCTGCACTGTCTCGTCCACCTCGTCAGCAAGGTAGCTGATGAGGTTCGCCATGTCAGCATAAAACCGCCAGACAGAGGAGCGAGAAAGAAGTGGCACACCTGAGCGGGGAAGCGCAGGAGCAGGCCCAGCGCCGTCTCGTCTGCCTCATCAGCGAGGTAGTTGATAAGGTTCGCCAGAGGGTTGAACGACGCCCCCCCCAGTGCTGCAGCCGCTCCCCCGAACCCCACGATCTGCACGATGGCGATCGCCTAATGCACACGAGAGGGCGAGGCAGGCACAAGGGAGAGGGCACAAGGGAGAGGCACAAGGGAGAGGCACAAGGGAGAGGCACAAGGGAGAGGCACAAGGGAGAGGCACAAGGGAGAGGCACAAGGGAGAGGCACAAGGGAGAGGCACAAGGGAGAGGGCACAAGGGAGAGGCGCACGGGAGAGGCGGACGAGGTGACTTCTGAGTCGAGTAAAAGGACCTCACAATCTGGACGATGGGATCGGCTGGTGCAAACGAGAGGGAGCAACAAAAGGGAGAGCAACGCGGGAGAGGAGCAACGAATTGTGGGAGAGAGGTTGACTGGTCAAGAGCGTTACATAGTAAAAGCCTTTGACATTGCAAGAGTTTGACACAGTGGAAGCGTTCGGCATTTTACAGAATCTGACATATCAAAAGAAGGTCCCTTGCGTTTAGTGAAAAGGTTCGATACATTGCTACATTGTAACAGTAGCCTACCAGGAGGAGAGCGACGGAGGTTTCATCGTCAGCAGCAACGTAGGGAGCGAGGACTGCCACCGTGGCGCCCGTGCACGACACCCCTATCGCCCATACGATTCTGATCATTGGAGAATCCGCACAAATGGCTTAAGTTAGAACTCTAAAACACTGTGAATGATGCCAGGGAAACCTAGATAATAGAGTAACATCTGCTCTGTTTTCAACTAGACGAGCGGTTTCAACCAGACGAGGCGAGTAATAACATGTCGTGAAAAGATACATTTTTTTCCCCGTCTGATATTTCCGTACGTGAAAAGGAAGTCAGTGACGGCAAGCCGAACCACCTTCCCAGACGACATTGAATTCGCCATCCCAGTACCGTGCTTTCGCCAACCTAGCGGGACACTTATCAGGGCTTAACTCGCTGCCTTAGATTCCGGGGCCTTGGAACTTAGAGCTGGCTCCACAAACATCAAGTTTAGAACCCATAGCCAAGACGAAAGAACTGTAAGCGAATTTAGGGATCACATCATGCGACTGGATTTGGTAGGCAGTGTTCAGTCCTGAGTTCAGAAGAGGCGATTTCCATCAGGAACTGTGTATTGTTTGAATTCGAACGCGCAAAGGGGGCACGCCAATGAATTTCGGAGTGGTGGTCAACAGAAACAAACTTAGCTAATGAACAGATCGTGATACTTAGAATGTCACGAGTGCGTATTTCTCACATCAAACACGCTTGTCCAATGAATTTCTCGACCCGTGCATGTTGGCAACGCTCTGAACTGGCTTTGTTGAAACAAGCTGATGAATTTGATCGGGTGAAACCTGACTCAACTGCACAGAAATAGCAAAAACCGTTGACCCGACGCCATATCAACCAGCCTTCCCAGGCGGCTTCGGGCAAACAAGCTTGCGCGAACGTGCGGTAGTTTCAAGCGGACTAGGCGAAATGTTACAGGCTCTGGACGACGTGGCTGGTGTGCTGTCGTGTTACCTCCCCCAGGTCACGAAATCTTCTCGCCACCGAGCCACACCGCCACGAACGAATCACATCACTCAAGCTCGTTCGGATAACAAACGTACCTGTTCCCGCCAAAACAAACGTGCCAAGCTGGTGTCAGAGCTCAGGCACAACGGGACCACAAGGAAGCTTATGACCGTTGGCACGGGCACCGTTTGAGCCAACCACCAATCAGGTTCGGACGAAGAGATTTGTTAGAATCCTTCCTGACCACGGCAAGCCTTCCTTCCCATCGCTGTTCCCTCTCCCTCACCTGTTGGCCTGCTGCAATTTCAGGCCTGCTAAAAGCAGCATTCAAGATTTCAGACTCCTGTGTCTGAGCGCTTGGCTTCTCCTGTTTCTCAGTTTCAGGAGATAAGTAGCAGAGGGGGATAGCAGAGAGGCTGACAACCAGATAGCAATAGTAACACAAGATTGAGACAGACTCGAAGGTTGTCGCTAACGTAGTGGTGTCAAGTAGTCAGGTATATGTGTCTTTAAGCGGTCTGGAGATAGTGAACACCAAAAAAAGGTATCAGTATTTTTTAATTTGAAGCCTAGCCGCCATGGCGGTAGAGCTGGATGCCGACGCGGTGCGGCACGCCAAGGTCAAGATGATATTTCACAAGTTTGACAACAATAAAGACGGTGGACTAGACCGCTCGGAAATGGCTGGTCTCGTCATCGCCGTCAATCCCAAGGTCAAGTTTAAGGACGAGCAAATCGAGGCTATTCTAGACGAGGTATTTAAAACTTACGGAGAATATATTACCGAAGGCGTCGGTTTGTCTTTCGAAGGGCTTCAGCAGACCTACGACGACGGAGCTGGCGACGTGGACAGGGATTTTGAAGCACTTAATCTTGTGCTGGACATTCCCACTCCGGCCCCTCTCCCTGCAATTCCCGCTGTTCCCGAGCCTCCTGCCGAAGTTCCTGCCGAGCCTGAACCTCCTGCTCCGGTGGAGGAAGATAAGGGAGGATATAACTACTTGTCCACAAAGCACATGGTGGAAGCCCTCGAGGCGCTCATCCAGCAGCAGCCACGCGCACAAGACAACCCGAACAACGTTCTCAGCAGTCCCGCATTCACAAAAGCCGTCGCCGATCTTCGCTCGCAGTCGGAGAGCTTGTTACCCGTCGCAGCAGTCGTGGAGGCGAACATGGCGATGGGTCGCGCGCTGATGAAGGTCGGTCGCACGGAGGAGGCGAAACCGTCGTTTACGCGTGTCGTGGAGATTGAGCCGCAGAACGTTCGCGCGTACTTCCTTCTTGGAAACGCGTATTACAGCATGGGACAGTTGGCTCAGGCGCGGGATGCGTACAGCCAGAGCCTCGAGGCGGGGAAAGCGGACCCCGAAGCGCACGCGACCATTCTTCCTCAGGTATGCTGTAACGAAAGCAATGTTGGTCGGCGAGTGTACTCGACCCACCCTCGCGCGTCAGTTTTGGAGCCGTGCCAAAATTTTTAGTCAATTGTTCGTTTCAATAAGGAATGCACGCAACTTCGAAAATAGCGAGGCACAGGCTTGTTTACTCCACGGGTGCCACCACTATCATGGCTTTTCACCCTGCCGCTTCCTTCATCCCCGATACAGGTGCACGTGAATCTGGGTATAGCAATGGAGGCGGAGGGCCTGCTGATGAACGCGTGCGACCACTACCGCGAGGCGGGCATGCTGAACCCGCACCACCACCACGCCATGAAGCTTCTCGGCAGCGCGCTCTATGGGCTCGGCGAGTACCGTGAGGCGGAGGAGGCGCTGCAGAATGCGCTGTATCTGGACCCCAAGTGAGTGCTAGCATGCACGCAAGCGAACCTTACAATCACGATGCGGGTGCTACAGAACGCGATTTATCCTGGAATAAAAAAGCGTAGGTGATTGTGTAACGCAAGAGTACAGCATTTAACGATGCGGAACTAACGTAAAAGAAGCCATTATTGTTATCTTGATGGTTACGCTGCGTGTCCTCATCCCGCTCCTCCCCACCTTGCGCCTACCCCGTCCCTTCCCCCACCTCCTGCTCTCCTCCCCACTTCCCCCCACACTCCCCCTACCCCCACTTATCAGGTACGCCGACGCTCATTGCGACCTGGGGTCGACACTCCATGCGCTAGGCGACGACGTGCGCGCGGGGCAGGCGTTCGAGCGCGCGCTGAGTCTGGCTCCTGACCACGTGGACGCGCTCTACAACTACGCGGGGCTGCTGCGCGACACAGGCCAGTTCGACGCCGCCGTCGACACCTACTCCAAGGTGCTCGCGCTCAGCCCGGGGCACTGGCAGGCGCAGCTCAACCGCGCCGTGTCGCTGCTGGGCGGCGGGAAAGGGGAGGCGGCGCAGCGCGAGCTGGAGGCGGCGTATCGGCTGACGAACCGCGTGGAGCTGTACGATGCGGTGAAGCAGCTGAAGCGGCTGTACAAGGAGAACAAAAAATGAGCTCGGCCCTGGCGAAGCTCCCGGATCGGGGCGGGGAGGGCGCGGGGGGCGCGGTGGAGGGTAGTTTCGTGGTGCTGGATCCGGCGAGAATGAAGGGCAGCGGCCCCACGGTGTGCAATCCCACGGAGCTGGCTGTGGCCCTTGACGTCCGCGCCTACCAGGTGAGAATCGAGTTGAGATGGTTACAGGGTGGTGATCCCCTTGCACTCGTTTAGGGTTCCCCCTCAATCACTCACTCCGGGCCCCCTGCTCCCTCCGAGATTCACCTCAGTCTTTCACTCCCCTTCCTCATCCATCTATCCCCCTCAGCGCCACACGCGCTTGTCCAAGGTGCCGGTGGCAGCGCTGCGCGCGGAGCTCTCAGAGGCCAACTTCGAGGCAGCCCCGCGCGAGCGTATGGTGCGAAAGGCAGCCATCGAGTTGCTGCTGCGCCAGCTGCTCCCCGAAGCCCTCCCCCCAGAGACGTTCCAGCAGGCCGTGCGCGCCCTCAACGAAAAGGTCATCTCGGCCGTCGAAACCGGCGGCGGCGCGGCCGCGGCAGCCGTTGATCTGGGGCTGTTTCTGGCTATCGTGGCGCTGCTGTGCGACGGGGCGGTGCCGGAGCGGAAGCTGGTGGCGTTTGAAGCGCTGCAGTGGCGGCGGGGGCGGCCGGAGGGCACCGCAGGGAAGATCATGCGGCGCGACGCGGTGGGGTTTGTGCAGCTGGTGCGGGAGATCTACCTGCCGGGGCAGCCACCCATGCCCGAGGAGGACAAGGGCGGCGAGGAGGGCGTGCCGGACGTGGGGTTGGAGCAGTTTGAGACCCTTGTGGATGATGTGAGTTGATGCTTGAGGGTGCTTGTGGGTATTTTTTAGGTGTTCGTTGTGTGCGTGCATTTGCTTGGGGGTGCTTATGGGTGTTCCAGTGGGTGTGTCCGTGTGCCTGAACCATCTATGCAAACGTTCTTAGGACAAACCTGCCCGGTGCGTGCTGTGGTTGATCTACCTGCCCTGACCCATCCTCTTTTCACTTCTGTCCATGCGTCCTGCCCGTAAACACCCCTCTCCACATGCCCGCTGCAGTATTTCCCCATTCTCTACACCCTGCGCAAGCTGGAAGTTTATGATCGTACCCGGCACCTGGGCATGTCGTGCGACGTGTGCCGATACGCCATTGTCGGGCTGCGCTACCGCGAGACCAAGTCGCGCTTCGACCTCTGCGCCACGTGCTACAGCGAGAGGAAAGCCCCTGCCAAGCATGCAGGCCCCTCTCTTCTGTCGTCACGTAACCGCGTGTTCACGTTTGCCGAGTATGTGACCGGCACGGACAAGGTGAGGGAGAAGTTTGGGCTGTATGGAAGGACACTTGCTAAGACACCGACGACGAGAGGAGGGGCCACGGCAGGAGCAGGAGGAATGGCAGGAGGGGTGGGAGGAGGAGTCGAAGCGGGTGGCGGTGTTGGGGTGAGTGGGGGTGATCAAGCTGAGGCGTCACCAGATGTGGCTTGAGTGACCAGCTTCCTATATTGCTGGAGCTGTGTGGGGGAGGAGCAATTGGAACAAGAGGTGGTTGGAACGGGAGGAGGGGGGAAAAGGTGCCAGCCTTTCAGGTGGTGCTGTTGGTGTGAAGGAAGTTTCAGGACAAGTTGGAGTGGTTCATAGGGGAAGTTGGTTATGGTTACATGATAACTCCTTGGGTTGTGGTAGATAGATACGTGGTAGGTGTGCATGTGCAACTGACAGTCAATGTAGCTGCAGAGTGACTTGCAGATTTAGTCCATGACTTAGGTTAGGACACAGAGGCGGCATGCTTCAAAACAGGAAATGCAGTAGTCCAGCCTATGTCACAATTTTCATAGGAATAACTTGAGCCCTTATGATTGCATCTTTCGTACTTGGTCCACATGCAATGCACCTTTTTCCGTGAGAATTTGGCTGATTCCGTTCCTCAAGTCTCTTGTGCAGTCCATAACAATGGGACAAGCAGGGCCTCAGAAGTCAGGAATTTTGCGTACCCTGATTTCCTGAAGTTTGACCCTTGTGTTTTTATTGTGACCCTGATGGATCAGCCTTTTTTTTAAGACCCTGAAAGATCAGTTTTTTTTTGGGTTGCGAAGCAACCTATTGCAATCGACCTAAAGCAAAAAAAAAATTAAGGGAATTTTAATTATTTGCAAAAAAAAAAAACATTGTAAAATAACTGGAAATTGTTGTTTATGTTAAGTTGTAATGTGTAATATGTTGGTAGGCTGTAGTGGGGTAGCCAATATGGGGTACAACCCCAACTAGGGTTTGCTACTTGTACCCAACAATCTCATTCAATGCACTCATTCTTACGCTAGTATCATGACATGGTATTCAGAGCAGGTGGTCCCTAGGACCATCCGATCGTTTTTTTTTTAGGGCCCACCACCGCACGCTGCGGTTACCGCGTTACCCCCGCGCCCTACCCTCGTAGCGCCCTCGTTGCGCCCTAGCGCCCTCGTAGCGCCCTTGTAGCGCCCTCGTGCGCCCTGCCGACCGGCGTCCTGCCAGCCCAGAGCCCCGCGCGCCTCCCCCTCCCCTGCTTTGCCCGTCGCGCCGCCCGCTCTGCCCCGCGCTGCCCGTCGCGCTGCCTCGCAGCCCCGCGCACCGCCCGCTGTGCCCCGAGCCGCCCGTCGATCTGCTGCGCAGCCCCGCGACCCGCCCGCCCTGCCCCGCGCTGCCCGTCGCTCGGCTCTGCAGCCCCGCGCGCCGCCCGCTCTGCCCCGCGCAGCCCGTCGAGCTGCCTTGCAGCCCCGCGCGCCGCCCGCTGTGCCCCGCGCCGTCCGTCGCGCTGCCCGCCCGCCCGCCGCGCTGCCCGCTTGCAGAGTCGCCCGCCAGTCGCGCTGCCCGCCTGCAGCGCCGCCTGCCTGCCGCACTGCCCGCTCGCAGAGCCGCCCGTCCGCCGCGCTGCCCGCTTGCAGCGCCGCCTGCTGCTCCCTGCCCGTGCGCAATTGCCCGCCCCTGCTGTGGTAGCTTGCGTTGCTCTGCCGTACTGTCGCTATGGCTTCCATCCGCGTGCTGTCGTTCGATGCTGAGGGCCGCCCTGTGCAGTTCACCACTTGGCTAGATGACCTGCAGCTGTTCCTCCTGAGCGATAGCAAGGAGCATGTGTCGCTCTATGATTACGCGTCTGGTGCTGCGCCTGCCCCTCCTGCCACAGCTGAGCTTAGTGTTCGTTCCCACTGGCAGACTCGTGACGCAGCTGCTCGCCTAGCCATTCGCAGTCACCTGCCGTTAGCTGAGCTCGAGCATTTTGGCGACTGCAAAACCGCTAAGGCCCTGTACGACGCTGTCGTTGCTCGCTACTCCTCACCTGCCACAGCCGAGCTTAGCCGCCTCATGCTGCCTTACCTGTTCCCTGAGCTGTCCACCTTTACTACAGTCGCCGATCTCATCACCCACCTTCGCACTAGTGACGCTCGCCTGCGTGCTGCCCTTCCCACCGAGTTCTGCGCTAAGCACCCCCCTCCACTGTACTGGACGCTCCATTTCATAGTCACCCGTCTCCCTGACACCCTCAGCTCAGTTCGAGACTACTTCCTTGCCCGCTGTCCCACTGAGCTCACAGTCGCCCTCCTAGAGGAGAAGCTGCTAGCAGCCGAGAAGAGCATTGTAGCTGTAGGTGCTGCTCGTGGCGCTCCTCGCACCCCCATCTTTGAGGGGTGTTCTCCCTCTCCCCTCGCTCCCTCCTACGCTACTGCTGCTGCTGTTGACTTCCTTGGTGCTGAGTCTGCTGGCGCTGCTTCTGCTCCTGGTGGGAGGCGCCGCACCGGCAAGGGCAAGGGGGGCAAAAGTGGCGGGGGTGGCGCTGGGGGGGGAGGAGGTGGGGGAGGTGGGGGGGGAGGCGGTGCTGGAGGGAGCGGTGGCGGGAGTGCTGGTGGGAGTGGAGCCGGCAGCGGAGGCGGGGGCGGCGGAGGGAGCGGTGGCGGTGGTGGCGGCGGCGGCGGTGGCGGCGGTGGCGGTGGCGGTGGTGGCGGTGGCGGCGGTGGCGGTCGGAGCGGAGGTAGTGGTGGCGGTGGAGGTCGGAGTGGAGGCACCGGCTCGGGCCAGAGCTCCCAGCAGCAGCAGCGTCCCCAGACGACCCAGCAGCTTCGTGAGTGGCTTGCTCAGCGTGGGACGTCGGGGGGCAGTGGCCGCTGTTCCTATGTCATTCGCACAGGTGACCGCAAGGGACAGACGTGTGGGAGGTTCCACACCCCGTACCGCTGCTTCTCCCGCCTTGACGACGCTTGGCGTGAGGAGATCGGCGAGGATGTTGAGCGCCCCCGCTGGGCGGAGCTGATGAGGGCTGGTGTTGATATCTTTGCTCTTGACTATGATGCTATTATTGCTGCCATGTATGCATTGACTGTTAGTGCCGAGGGAGACTGTTACTTGTGTGTGCCGCCTGACCCAGGTATAGAGCCCACTGCCCTAGGTACTGGTGAGTCTGCTCTCTCTGGTACTGTGCCTGCTGCTCGTGAGTCTGCTCTCCCAGGTACAGCGCCCACAGACACTGCTCTCTCAGGTACTTCACCCACTGGGGCCTTGCACACCTTTACTCTTGACTCAGGTGCTTCCCGCTGTTTCTTTCGTGACAGTACTGAGCTCACTCCGCTCCCTGCACCGGTCGCGGTCTCCCTGGCTGACCCCTCGGGGGGCCCAGTCCTTGCACGGTCCACCACTGTGCTCCCGTGTCCGGCGGTTCCGTCTGGCTCGTTGTCGGGTTTCCACCTCCCCTCGTTCTCGACGAACCTGGTGAGCAACGCTGTCCTCCAGGATCAGTGGGTTGACACCTTCACCCCTGGAGGACAGCGTGTGGCGATCCTCACGTGCTCCAGGACCGGCCGTCACCTGGCTACGTTCACCCGTCAGCCGGGGTCGAGTCTCTACACACTGACCACTGTGTCTCCTCAGGTCGCTGCTGTCGGTCAGGTGTCCGCGTCAGGTCTGGTAGCCCACGCCTGTGAGTGTCGTTCCCTGTCGCACCAGACTCTTCTCTGGCACCACCGCCTGGGTCACCCCTCCTTGTCACGCCTCCGTGGCATGCACCGTCGCCACCTTGTGTCTGGTCTTCCCAGGTCCCTCCCTCCCCTCCCTGCCTCGCCTGCGCCGCCTTGCCTTCCTTGCGTCGAGGGGCGGCAGCGCGCCGCTCCTCACTCCTCCTCGTTCCCCCCGACAGAGGCTCCTCTGCAGACCCTCCACCTGGACGTGTGGGGCCCAGCCCGCGTCCGTGGCCAGGGCGGTGAGCGGTACTTTTTGCTGGTTGTTGACGACTACTCGCGTTACACCTCAGTCTTCCCCTTGCGCACCAAGGGTGAGGTCCCTGCTGTTCTGATCCCTTGGATCCGCACGGTTCGTCTCCAGCTCCGCCGCCGGTTCAGGACAGAGCTTCCTGTCCTGCGTCTGCACTCTGACAGAGGTGGTGAGTTTTCCTCCGACCTCTTGAGGACCTTCTGTCAGGCGGAGGGCATTGAGCAGACCTTCACGCTTCCGGACTCCCCGCAGCAGAATGGGGTTGCTGAGCGCCGCATTGGCCTGGTCATGGAGGTCGCTCGTACCTCCTTGGTTCATGCAGCTGCTCCCCATTTTCTGTGGCCGTTTGCTGTCCGGTACGCCGCGCATCAGCTCAACCTCTGGCCCCGTGTCTCCTTGCCGGAGACCTCGCCCGCACTGCGTTGGACGGGGGAGGTCGGCGATGCGTCGCGCTTCCGGGTGTGGGGTTCTCGTGCCCTTGTCCGCGATACTTCCGCGGACAAGCTCTCCTCCCGCACGCTTCCCTGTGTCTTCCTTGGCTTTGTCCCTGACGCGCCTGGCTGGCAGTTTTACCACCCCACCTCGCGCCGGGTCTTCGCCTCTCAGGACGTCACCTTTGACGAGTCGGTTCCTTTCTACCGTCTCTTCCCCTACCGTACTGCCCCCCTCCCTCCCCCGCCACTTTTCCTTGCTCCAGGTCCTCCTCTGGTAGACCCCCTCCCCCCTCAGGGTCCTGCTCCTTCAGGTGTCTCTCAGGTAGACCCTCCTCCCGTCGCTGAGCCTGTCGAGGTCACAGGTGACTCAGGTGCTGCTGCGGGTGGTGCTGCTGGGGTTGCGGAGCCTGGGGGTGCTGAGCCTGGGGGTGCGGAGCCTGGGGGTGCTGAGCTTGGGGGTGCGGAGCCTGGGGGTGCTGAGCCTGGGGTTGCGGAGCCTGGGGGTGCTGAGCCTGGGGTTGCGGAGCCTGGGGGTGCTGAGCCTGGGGGTGCGGAGCCTGAGGGTGCTGAGCCTGGGGGTGCTGCGCCTGGGGGTTCCGAGCTTGGGGGTCGTGAGTCTGGCGGTACGGAGCCTGAGCCTGCGGAGCCTGGGGGTGCAGAGCCTCTCACACAGCGGCAGCTCCGTGAGTGGTACGTCCGGCGCTTTCGCCTTCCGCGTGGTGCAGCTGGAGCTGGCGGAGCTGCGTCTGGGGTCGCTGGTGCTGACGGTCCTGAGGCTGGAGGCGCTGGAGCTGGTGGTCCTGGAGGAGCTGGTGCGGCTGGGGTTTCGTCGCCGGTGGGTGCTGCGGCTCCTAGTGTGCCTTGGGCTGGCCGCCTTCGTTCGCGCGTACCTCTCACCTCCCAGCAGCTGCACGACTGGTTCGGTCGTCGTCCGA